AAACAAAAAAAGGCTTCACAAAGACCCAAGCTCCAGTGACTCAGGAAATGCCCCTGTCTTTAGCTAAGGGATGTTTTAGCTTACTGTCTACATGTATCAGTGAAAGTGGGCCAGGAAATCTATACCCGAGTCAAAATTTAATACACAGAGATCTTATTCCATTTTTCCATACAATCAGCAAGTTCAGAAATTCTCAAAAGCTCAAGCTTAAAGCAGCTGAAAGTTAAGACACTTATTGGGCCATTCTCTCCCATATGGAAGAACCAGGGTGAGGCAAAGAGCATGGGCAACAATTACAGGAAGGTAGCAGATTACTTACTCGATCACTCGGGGCTCTGGGGCTCTGCGTACTACCTGCAAGAAAATAGGCAGATCCGAATTCTGGAATGAGTCCTAAGCATCAGGAAGACTGATTCACTGTAAATGCTCTCATTTCTGGTCCAAAGTAGTCAGGTCTACAGCTATTTCTATTTTAGTCCAATCTCTCAACTACCCTTTCTGTTCTTCTTACAACAACAATACATGACACTCACTAGCAGAGAAAACAAAATTAGAATGAACAGTCCTACTGGCCAGCAGCTCTGGAAAAGCACTCTTTACATACAGGAGATTTTTTTTTAAAAATTGAAGATGTAAAATAAAAGACTTTTGAGAATTATTTATACACTCATTATTATAGAAAAATGCCTGATGGTTTTTAAGTTCTTTCTTTCGATATTGTTAAAAAATAAGGACTGGGAATATAGATATAGCTGAGTGATAGAGTGCCTGCTTACCATACATAAGGCCCTGGATTCAATCAAAGCCCAGCACTACCCAAAAAAAAAAAAGTAAACTTTCTGTCTTTTTCATTCCCCATCCCCCTGGAAAAAAAAAGAGCTAAAAATCAGGCATTTTGCTAGAGCTGAACTTTTGATTCAATTCCAAGGACATTTTCTGTATGGCACTGAAGACATCCCAGTTCTGGAACTGTAAGAACTCTGATCACCCATGCAGGCCCGTTAGTCTCTACTCATGGCAAAGCTTCCCCACCCTAACCCCATGGGAACACCGTATGACCAACAGAAAGTGAAGAATCTTCAAACATAAGGAAGGAACTGAAATATTTCATATTTTATTACAATTCTTTTGTTCTGCTGTTCCTTAGTAAGTTTATTTTTTTCCCTAAGTTTATTTTATACTAAGTTTATAGTAAGTTTATTCAGGCTCTATGTGAGTACCTGCTACACAGAAATAGCTTTTACAAGCAAATCCTTGTTACTGTTGAAGAAGAAATAAGAACTTACCTGCTGGGGTTCTTTGAACACAAACACTCTGTCAGACAGAGGATGTTCCTTGTTCCCCCAGGTCTGACCAGGCATCTGGTGGAGAAGGCTCCCAGCATCGGTAGCTGAAAAAGCAGCGATAACACCTCAAACCAAGGAAAAGTCTGTTCTCACCATGTTTGACTGAGCAAGGGCTAATAACATCCTCTTGGAGATGACCTCTAACACATCTAAAATTAATCACTGAAGTCAAGAGAGGACTTCAACACACTGCAAGGTTTGAGGGTACTGACTCAATATTAGGAACGTGAACTCTTTAAGTTCGTCATCAAACAAATCACACAAAACACCAGCCACGTTTTAAACAATTCCTTAATAGCAACCAAAATGGAATTCATTATAAACCAAAAGGATATAAGTAAGAGAGCAGAATAGTTGCCCACATCCATAAAAACACACACTGCCCACAGGTTCTTGCCTGGATGAGCAGCAGACTGTTTCTTAGCAGGGGCAGCCCAGGCTCCCTGCACCCGCGCCTGACGTCTTTTGTCTGCCATGTTGACCAAAAAAGCTTCTGCCCTGAGCTCTCAGAAGATTTCATTCCTGATTCAAATCACACAGTAGTATCTGCGTAAGGGGGAAAAAAAGTGCTTTTAGTTAGGATCTTGAGTCTGGCCTGGTAAGGGGTAATCATGATCCTTTTGGACAGAAGAGATGGGTCAGTAGCAATCAGAGCTTCTACACAAAATCAACTTCTATCATCACATTTCAATCAAGGAGCCTAAGTCACATGGGACTCCTGGTTTATCTTCTGTAAGCTTATCATAGCACTTTTCTTTCTTTCACAAAAAAGTACACATTTCTAAAAGCAGGATCCATCATAAACTACATTATTCTTATTTGTCTCCAAGGGCAGGAAACAAGGAAACTCCCATCATCTCCCAGACACTAAGAAAGGAGCTAAGATTCAGTTCCCAAGTGGATTTCCACGTTCCATTATCACTGGCTGCCTCAAACCTTCCTGGAAGCTCCTTAAAAGCATCCATGGCAGATGAATCTGAGGGACTTCATGCTGTGTGAAATAAGACAGTCACAGAAAGACAAAGATAATGTGATCTCACTTATGTGCGCAATCTAAAAAAGTCAAACTCCTAGAAGTAAAGAGTACAACAATGATTACTAGTGGCCAGGCGAGGAGGATGGGAAGGGAAAGGATATTGATAGAAGGGTACGTTTGTTAGACAAGGGGAGTAAGTATTGGTGATCTATTGCACAAAATGATGACTATATTTAATAAATATCGACATACTATACATTTCAAAATTGCTAAAAGTGCAAAAGTAAAAGAGGTGATAGGTTTACTAGCTTGATTTAATCTATCTATAATATAAACATGTATCAAAACATCACGCTATACCCCATAAATATACACTATTGTTACCTGTCAAAGTAAAATTAGAAAATTTTGAAGTTTAATAAATGAAAATTTAAAATATTCTTGGCCTGCCTCTAGAAAATCTCCTTTAGGATTGAAATAAGTGTTTGTCTTTATGATAAGCAAGGTAAGAGTATATATGAGGACACAGGTCGCTCAGGAAATCTATTAATTTGAATCAATTAATATTCAAATTTTACTAAGTTTCAGTCTTCAGCTAACTGTAAAATCCACCTGATAACGGCCAGTAATACTGATGGCACTTTTGCCAATAAAATTTGGCCCATAGCAAATACAGAAGCCCCCACAGCTGCAAAACAAAAAGAAGAAGTCAGGCCCCATGATCTGAATCTGTCGTCTTTTGAATCTATGACCCACTTCTTCATGGGTTTAGGAAAGCGTCACTTCTCAAGTTCTTAAAGACAACAAGCTCATTTTCTATCTTGTTTAGCCTATAGATTTCCAGGCCCCACCCCTAGCTAGACCTTCTGATTCAAGAGAGCTGAGCTGGGTCCACGAATCTATACATTTAACACGTTTTTCTAGGGGCTGGGGATTTAGCTCAGTGGCACAGCGCCTGCGTGGCAAGCGTGAGGTTGTGAGTTCGATTCCCGGTACCGGAAAAAAAATTAAAAAATAATAATAATAACACGTTCTCCTAGTTCTAGAAAAAACAAAATCCCATGCTTATCATAGGTAGGGAGATGACCGAGGCTGCCATCTGCCCAAATGAGTTAGTGACACAATCAAAACCCATTCTTCAGTCCCACAAGATGCGTGAAGGAAGCCCCCGTTTGACATCTTCCCTGGACTGAGGCCTTAAAAGCTTAACCTGACAACTTGCTATTGGCCCCTCAGGGGACTATGACCCGCTCATTCCCCTGCTCCCTTCTCCTTGGACCAACACATTAGTTGTCAGGGGGCAGCTGTTGAAAATACAGATTCCAGGGCCCAATCTCAGACTTACTCCATGTGTGGAGTCCCAGACTTCATCAGTTTGTGGAGTCTCAGAATCCCTTGGCCAACGCCACCCTCCACCCCGGGATTCTTCATGCAGGTAAAGCCTGAGGACCTGATTTCCGTGCAAAGAACAGGCACTCCGAATCTGTCGCTGCCCAGCGACACAACCCTGACTCCGCCGGAGTCCCCGTTTCTTCCTTAAGAAACAGAGATCTCAATACTTTCCTTACAGATGGGGCGCTGAGTAAGCGCGCCTCGCAGGTGAAAGAAACTGGTCACTGGTAAAGGCTCTCTCCTTTCTCTCATTTAGATCCTTTTCCTCCAGGAGGCCCTAAATGAGGCCCCTGAGGTCGCTCAGGGACTGACCTCAGAGCCGTCCTCACATCCCCACCCCCAGGTGCCCTGAGGTAAGTTAAAAGGGCGCACACCTGCAGACGGAGCGGGGCGGAAGATCCGAACCCGCTCGCCCTCGGAGCAGCCCCTCCACTTCAGACCCTTTTCCACGCCTGTAGTCTGGGGAACCTTAAAGGTGAGGCACGGACTCCAGCAACAGCCAATCACAGGCCGTGGCGATATGCACTTCCTCCTTACGTCACACACCACCCCCTCTACTTCCGTGGTCCGGCCCAGAGTCCGGGTAGCTTCACGTTCCTGGCGTCTCGGGGGCCGATTTGTCTCGGGGGCTGATTTGCTTGGAACAGTTAGACCTTAGTGCACGGATTGCGGTGACCTGGGGCGGGGCGGGTGGAGGTGCATCTGCTAGGCCGAGATCCTCAGCACGTGAGCTGCCCGAAACTGGAGACGACCAGGCGCCGGCATCTTTGGTCTATTGCGGAAAGAACGACCTCGTCCCAGCAAAGCTGATGGAAGGGTGAGGGAGTTGGAGGTCTAGATCATGGTGTTTAAGCAAAAATATTTGCATTTAATCCTGGAAGCCGAGGAGAGCCCAGGACGCTCCTCCTTTGGGTTTCCCATTGCAGCATAGGCAATACCTCGATCATAGCATTTACCACGGGCCGTGGACCACGCCTTATTCGTCTCTGCTCTCCCGTGCTGAGTCAGTTTTGCTTTAATAAATAGATTCAAATTTCAGATGCTACCATTTCCTAAATGTGTCATCTAGGGCAAGTACTGCACTTCTTTTTGACATGAGACTGTTAAGTCTCCAACCAGACCTGACTCTTCCAGCCCCTAACCTGCTTGCCAGTAGAGCACCACTGTATGCAGGGAACTCAACTCAGTACAGAAGTTGTCATCAACAAGTACAGAAAAGGAGATAAGATAGGATAAGAAATTTTACAGGCCCTGGGGACATCTGGGGACACCTGAAAATTTACATGGGACACTTCAAAGACTGCCTACTAAGATGCAAGACTGCTGGAAAACTTTGTTGTTCATTGGGATCTTCCTGCCTAATGTCCCCTGCCTTCTCTCCATCATCTCTATAAAAGGGACACCCTTCTCTTTGTTTGAGGCAGAAGGTCTTACCGTGCTCACTGCCAGTACCCAGGCACAATAAATTCCATGCCATGTTGCCTTTACACAAGCCTGGTGGTCTCTGCTGGTTCCCCCTCCCCCCAATATACTACATATATTACAGGAACTAGGTCATTTGGGTAGGATTAAAAGAGGTGTAATGTATTTTTAAAATTTAGCTAGATGTGGCCTGTAATAAAGCTCTGCCACACCTTGTCCAAAAAAAAAAAAAAAAAAAAAGACTTGGGATTTAGCTCAGGCTCTGGGTACATCCTATTCCCCACTACCATCAAAAAGAAAATACAGTTTTTAAAACCCAAAAAATTCACAATTCCCTGATCAGAATAAAAATTCATTGAAGGCAGAGTCTGCTCACCCCATCTGAGCTCTTAAGAAATATCTTGAAAGTGTTCTTGTTAAACCTTGGACCTTATCGTGTAAAAATAGTAACTATACCACTGAATTACTACTTTGTTCAAGTTGTCTTCTGAGATGTCGCTGTGGAAAGCTTTAAAATATGCCTAATACTAGATGGTGCTTGCCTGCAGGAAGCTCAGCATACCTCATCAATGTACCTATATTGTCACTACTGTCAAGTGTAATTTTCACAGCATCCATTATTCTTTATTACACTTTGTGACACTGAAAGAAAAAAAAATGATTTACCCTAGAACTGAAAGGAGGGCAAGTTGTGAGTATGATTTTTACTTTTTTTCCATCAACTAGTAATTTGTCAATGTCTCCTTCTGGCTCAGGAACCTTGGCTATATCTCCCAAAGGATGTGATTTCTTTCTTTTCAGTGATTATAGTTTTGGAACAGCAAAGAAGTCTGGATTGAGGAGTCCCTGAAAGCAGTGATTAACACCCATTTGGCCTCTAAGTACATTTCTCAAAAAAGAAAAAAAAAAAAATAATCCATGGCCTGTTTGCAACTGAAATCACTGCATTTTTAAAAAAAAGGCAGAACTGCTTACATTTTTAGCGGTACCCAAGGCAATTCTGATGTAAAGAAATGGAAATCTCTGGGACACCAGTAAGGTGAGAAATCAATCCAGTTCGTCTGGCACGCAGCTTACAGGACTGTAAGTGCTAAAACCAGGATAGTCCAGAGAAAATTGAGATGGTTTCTTACCCTGGATACATGCAGGTATATAGTATTATGAAGATGTTCTTCTTGGTCTTGGCATCCTTATTTGTATCTTGGTTTACTCATTTGCAGATCTGTGCTTTCATCTAGGGAGGAGCAGGTGGGAGAGACCAAGGAACAGAGAATGAAGGTGAGGTTTGCTGCCCATGCTCCCACTGATTCTTAGCTCCAAACTTGCCCTTTATTGCCTGGCTCAGAGTACTGAGATAATTTTCCCTTGTCATTTGGCCTAATGGGCAGTGCTCTTGGTCAGAAGAGGGTGTCGGAGGGGCTCTTGTTCTGAGCTCCATTGTGTTTCTTTCAGCTTGTCGCCTCACTGTGAACTCAGTGACAATGCTGACTCAATTTGTGGCCTTGCTAATTTTCGCATGTGAAAATTAAGTCATCAGTTGGGAAGGAGTAGGATCTCAAATTCTGAAATAGGGATTTTGCTTGAACATTGACAGTCTGAGATACCCAAGTCATGCTGGGCCTTGGTGAGCAGTGGAAGTAGCTTACATTCCTGCGTCTGAGAAAATCAGTAATCCTTTACTTGAAACAATGTGAAATCTTCACCTGTGGCAGATAATGAGAAAAGAGAGGCTCATTCTCCATAAGACCCACCATAACCCATTGCTTCTCTTTCTGTCCCAATACCACTAAAAACAGAACTGCAGCCAAATGTCAGTGATCCAGGACAACAGCCATTTCTTTAAGGCACTAAGAAATACTTTAGACAAAGGGGCATTAATCCTTGAGGATCTTTCTGTGGTTGGTTTTTTTATTTTATAGGCGAGGTATGACCCTAAGGGATGCCACCATTGAACTGGGCTCCCTGATTTTGAATAATGAGGATACATGTCTGTACTTAAGTGGCAAAAGCAGGCACCTCAACCCCCTAGCACATTGGGAACAGGCCAGTTATCAGAATACTTTGGCCTGTAGTGATATTTAGATGGTGTTTTGAGAAATGAAGTACAGTTCAAGAGACTGTTGTTCTCGCCTATTGTTCAAGAGACCCCTGTGATAGATGAAAATCCGCGAAGTAGCGATGTTATAATTATTTTATTATTTATATATATTTTAAGGCTTTACAAACCCTTCCCACACTCCTATAAACCTTTCCCACTCTCTTATTAACCTTTCCCACACTCTTACAAACACTTCATATGCTCCTAAACACTTTCTACCCTCTTAAACCTACATAATTTTAACATGTAAAATTCTATATGAGTACTCTTTGTGAAATGGACAAGGAGAGAGCTGAACGTATGGGCACAGTGTGGGAGAGCAAACAGATCAATGCTATGGTTACTGAGCCAATCAGCACCCAGGATACAGAACACAGTGCTGTGGTTGGTGGCTTTCCATTCCATCATCCAACGGTGTGCTGGGTGCAATCTCACGGTGGCAAACTTATGTAAGTGGCAGTGACGTAATGCATTTCCATTGTGTACAGTATGGTATTCATCCACTGATGAACTACACACTGTATTTTATTTAGATTTAATATTCTTTGAATATTTTTGAATTAACATTTTTATATCATTTTAAAATTTTTAGGCAAAAATAATTAAAATCATAAATATTATATAAATACCTATATACCGCAAAATCCCACCATATAGCGAAAACTCCATAATACAGAATTAGATATATGTTTTTAAAAACCCTCAATACACTGAAACCACAATAAGTGAACCGTGATATAGTGAGGGATGACTGTAGAGGGACAGCCTACTAGGAGATTGTTTGGTCTCTAGAACAGGAGGAAAAAACCCTCTAGTCTAGTAGCAAAAGGTCTGACTTAAGTACAGATCTGGTATGGTCTGCCACTGAGTTTCTCAGTCACATCACAGGCCCAAAGATTTGATTAAAGAGGAGGCTTGAGGAAGGACTTGCACTACTGACACCAGTATATACTATGCATTGCCCTCCAAGCCTTCATAGAAGTAAATACAGCTATTTAATAGAATGATTGCATGTTGGGAAAATAAATACACAGTCCTTTTAGTGTTTCCTGGACACTGGCTTCCTGAAACTAATTCCTGGAAACCCAAAACACCACTGTGTTTCATTAGTAAAAGAGGGGTTCTGGTGTTCAGGTGAGAGATGGACTCTCAGGGATGGAGGCTGTACATTGTTAGGATTTTATGGACTTGGGAGGGCATGGTATACCATATTTAAGTAAGCAACTCCATAGAATCACCTGTAAGGATTCCAGTAGTTAGTGTAGACCAGATTAAATGAAGGATTTGCAGTGAGTTAAGGTTGTATTGTACATTGCTCTACCATATGGACTTTATGATCCAGGCAATCATAATTTAATAATAGTAAAAAGTGTCTATGGCAAATAGGGATGCTGTATGAAGCCTCTGCCAAGCACAATAGAAGATTCACAACTCAGATCTCTAGGGTTGTTTGTTTGTTCACAGTATTGGGAATTGAATCCAGGTGCTATCTGCCACTGGGTACATCCACACTCTTTGTATTTTCTTTTGAGACAGGGTCTGTCTAAGTTTCCTAGGCTGGCCTCATATGTGTGATCCTCCTAGCTTAGCCTCTCAAGTGGCTGGGATTATAGGTGATTGCCACCACTCCCACAGCCCAGACTGCTAGAACTTTCAAGAAAATCTAGGAGTGCTCCTATAGATACTTATTCCCCTCTATATAATTAGCTTGCCATTGGGCCTTGGAAGAAACTGAATACCTAACAGTGAAACATTAGGTGACCATGCATCCTGGGCTTCTCACAACTGAGCTTTGTCTGACTCACT